GCGTTTCTTATAAGTAAAATCCAGGTATTAATGTTTCCATTACTCGTGGCCCTGTATGTCGAAAAGACATCTTTGTATTTAGATGTTTAATACAAATTGCAAGTAATAGTTAATATTCTGTTGGAGATGGGTTAAGAATGAGCTCATGGGATTTTGGTGTGTGAAGAATTGTTCCAGTATTGCCAAATATAGGAATTAGCCTTGATACTGGAAATATTCAGGTTTACTTGCCTGCAATGTCCAAATAATAACATTTTAAGATTTGAGTAGGTGACTGTAAATTCTGATTATGATGGCCTTTTGTTTTTGGTCTTGTTCCTTCTCCAATTGATTGGCCTTTGATTCCTGTATAGGTTACATTAGAGTACTGTTTGTTCCATCTTTTTAAAATCAATTATTTTTAATAAAATAAATTTGAAAGTAGATATACTTTGATATATTCTTGGTTTGAAAACTGGCGTTATGCCATATGAAGATGTAAGCTAAGTGCATTGGCTAATGTTTGCTGACCTATTGGCATTGCTGAAGGCATACTTTGACCTTGAGGCAGAGGTGAAATTATCTTTTGAAGGTGTGTTTAAATTGGGATTGTAAGGGTGAAATGTGAAATAATCTTGGATGAGGTGGCTGTGGAAAATTTTAAGAACAATCGTAACAACACATCCTAACTTTGTTCACAAACTATATTAGCCAATATATGCTAATAAATACCAATACTGTTGCTGTGCTTACATGTGGCTTGAAGACTAATGAAGGAAGAAAAGTCTGTTATAGATAGCTTTCTTGCGTACCAGTTAAAACTAACAATTTAGTGAAATAAGATGGAACCTCGCCTATTCCTGTTCCTATGTAATTTTAGATTTAAGAGTTTGGATACATTCTTGGAGAATGTAGAGATAACAAAATGAACATGGTGCTATTTAAAAACAAACTTGGGGGTATTTTACTGATTCTGCTTCCAATGCTTCTGTATGTTAAGCCTGGAGGAGATGCAAAATACCAAATTACAGCATCTCAATGATAAGAGAAAGACTTGTTCCTTTTGTAATAGGTTTTGCTTTTACTTTTCAGATGAAAGAAGCTGATGAAGGTGCTGGCTCAGGTGACTGTCCCACAAAACTGACTCGTAAGAAAAAAGTGAGAAAGGAGTAAATGTCTTAATAGTTATTGAATGGAGGCATTCTCACTTTCCAGGTGGGCGTACCACCCTCTGTACTTTCTGACAGCATGCAGATTACTCGGCTTTTGGCTGAGCTGATAAATCAACCTCTATTCCAAGTACCTATCTAATCTTAGCCTCCATACTGTTCTTCTCTGCTTCATTTACAAGCCTCTTAGTCTTCCTGGCAAGAAAAATAAATCACTCTGAGGGTGTTGTTGATTTTTAACATTAGACATATCAAAATGCATCCTAATACCAAATGACCAGTTGTGAAGGCGTATTCTACTATTGCAAGGAAAGTTGTCGCAAGTGTTTGGTAACCTTCTGTGAAACAACTGTTAACCAGGGTAAAAGTACAAACATTAGAAGATTGAAAACTGATTGCAGTTCTATGGTGACATTTGCATTGAAAGGGAAGAAGCATTGGCATGTTTTATGACACTGAATTTGATATTTTGTTCAAGTTTCTGCCCAGTATGAGGGGGGAGGGGTAAATCAGTGTGATAAAACACAATACTAAAGATAATTCCAATGTACATATATAAATTAATTGAAATGATGTAGCTTTTAGCACAACTCTCAGTTTTTTTTGCATTGGTGCCAGTGTTTTCTTCCCTAAATAGGTCTCTTATTGGATTGTATTGTAGCAAAACAGAAAGATGCACTGAATTTCTTTGTACATATTGTTCAGGTACACACAGGAGTTGTGTACTTTTTTTTGCCCTCTCCAAGTGTAGTACAAATAGCTGTATTGCATTTTAGGTTTACCACCAACTTAAAACATCTCATGATCTGCACTCCATATTGTCAAATTAACTGGGAGAATTTTTCTCATCTCTGATGGGATGTTTTTCTTGTGTGCGTGTATTTCATGATAAATTGTAATACAGTGCAGTGGCATTCCTAAGTCATCTTCTGTCTCAGTTTCATTATTATGAATGCAGAGGTGAATGATTATATGAATCAATTGGCTGCAGTTCAGGAGATGAATGGTGTGAAGTGTACTGAATTTTCTGGTGTTTTATAGTTTTAATGTTACTCTGGGTTCGCATAATCCTTGTTTACACTGATGTTTGCAAAATGTACAATTGCTCTTTGAAATAAATATTTAATATAATGGAAGTTTTTATGTTGGCTACATATTAATTGCTCACCTATATGGAATGGCTGACTTGCGTTTTGTCAATCTGGCATTGCGTAATAAGGAGCTGAGGCAGAAATTCATCTTGAATACAACTCTCAATATTTTATACGCATTTCTAATCCTTTTTTTTTATTGTTTTCATTCTGTATCCATTGCTTCGTACCCTGTTATAAAGTTTCTTTATACATCTGACCAGTTAATAACTACCTAAAAATTGCATGTGATTCATGTAAACCAGGTAAGTGAAGGTTAATTTTAAAGATGGTGAAACAAATTTTCCTTCCAGGGATATAAAGTTATCTGATGCAACAGCAGTGAAGCTAGAGGTGTCTTTCATTACAAGATGATTCTCTTAACTCTTCAGATATTGCATTGTGTGGAGGAGTTGACTTATTGATTTGACACCTTCAGAAGAAAATGGGCATTTTTTCCAGCAGTTTAACAAACATATGTTCCATTTCTTTTATTGGGTTTCCCCTGTTGCTTGTTTCTGGTGCACTTAATAATTTCTTCAATAACTTATTTACCAATTATCTTGCTCTCTGTTTGCTGTTGCACACTTCTTGTCAAGGTGATAATCATCATCAGCAGGGCCACAAAATGGATGAGACAGCAATTTGACACCCTGCAATTTATTGTTAATATCTGATTTTTTTTCTCTTGCTGTCTCTTCTGTAAGCAAAACCAAGTGTTTGTGTCCTTTTAAGACAAAGAATTGCTTGCTATAGCTGTGGGTCTGGAGTTGCATGTAGTCCAGACCAGGTAAGTCTGGCAAAATTCCTTCCCATTAGACATTATATGTCCAGATGAGCTTTTACAACAATCGGTGATTGTTTCAAGGTGCCATTGCAAGCACTAGCTTTCAATTCTAGATTTTTTTATTAATAGTATTTAAACACTACCAGTAAGAAGCTAAAATCTTATGAAAATAAAAAGCCTGAATGACCGGTCAGGACAACATACTAATGAAAGAAATAAAAAGGCAAACAATTTAAAAATTGCATCTTTCACAATGTGATTAAACTTCTCCTATAAATTACCAACCTGTCCCATAGCATGGAAAAACATTTTAGTTTGCTGTAATAAATGTGGACTCATGCAAGTCAACTGGCTGACAGTTTCAGGGGGAATTAAAAAGCAGCAAGTTCAGGTTTACTTGAATTAACTGCTTGGTTTGATTTAAGAGATAACCATGTGGAGTTGGAGGAACACAGCAGGCCAGGCAGCATCAGAGGAACAGGAAAGTTAACATTTCAGGTAGGGACCCTTCTTCATAAATGGGGATGGGGAAGGGAGCTCAGAAATAAATAGAAAGAGGAGGGGTGGGGTTGGGGAACATAGATGGGATGGTGATAGGTGAGTGCAGGTAGGGAGTGGTAGGGATTGGTCAGTGAGGTGGGGAGTGCAAATAGGTGGGAGAGAAGATGGACAGCTTGTGTCAGGTCAAGGAGGTGGGGATGAGAGGTAGGGTTGGACATGGGATGAGGCCGGGGGTGGAGCGATTTTAGAACTGGTGAAATCCATGTTTAGGCCATGGTGCTGTAGGCTCCTGAGGTGGAATATGAGGTGCTGCTCCTCCAGTTTGCAGGTGGTGTCATTTGTGACACTGGGAAAGGGCCCAGGATGGACATGTCACCCGGGGGTGGAAGGGGGAGTTAAAATGGTTCGTGACTGGATGGTGTTGTCATTTGTCGCATACAGAGCTTGGTCTCACCGATGTAGAGGAGGCCACATCAGGAGCAGCAGATGCAGTAGACCAAGTTGACGGATGTGCAGGTGAACCCCTGTCTGACGTGGAAGGTTTGTTTAGTGCCTTGAATGGAGGTGAGGGGGGAGGTGTAGCACTTCCTGCAGTTGCAGGGAAAGGTGCTGGGGGTGGTGCGGTAAGTGGGGAGTGTGGAGTGAACAAGGGAGTCATGAAGAAAGTGGTACCTACAAAAGGCAAATAGGGGTGGGGAGGGAAATACCTCTTTGGTTTTGGGGTTGGATTGTAGATGGCGGAAGTGGCGGAGAATGATACGTTAGATGCAGAGGTTGATGGGGTGATATGTGAGGATTCTGTCTTTATTTTTGTTGGGGGTGGCGATGTGAGGCCAGAAGTGTGGGAAATGCAAGAGATGCGGTTGAGGGCATTTTTGATCACTGGAGGAGGAAGCATATTGACAAGATCTGAGGTTCAAAGGTGGCTTTTTTTTGGAATAGGACGCTTTGAGAATCGATACACGCTTGAACTTAACTCACCCAAGGAAGCATCAGCACTTGGATCTGCAACATGCAATTGAGTAAGCTTTCATCTGTAACAAGTGCATTGGCTCCTTGCAAAAGCAAAGCCTTCATGCCACATTTGAGGCCATTATGTGTTGCTTTGTTGTGACTGATGTGAGAGATCAAGCATACTATTGCTGAAATGCTGTTCTATTTCCAACATTCCCCACAGATTATCTGATTGCTCATTGAGCTGGAACTGGCACTGAGGATTCCTTGTGTTTTATGCTGTCTGTGACAGCAGTGTTGAATAAGGCCTGAATTATAGCCATGCAGCCTCCAGCAGGAAAACCATAAAGCAAAGGTCCCCTCCCCAAGAAGTGTATGGAGAATGACTGGACCCCAAATGTAGAATATTGTATTCAACCTGTTCATAGACATTATTGCACATCTCTGGAGCAGGTGACACTTAAACCCAGGTCTTCTTAATGATCAGCACACTAATACTGCACAACAAGAGGCCTAGAGTGAGCATGAGAAGAGAATAGATCTTTTTAATCAACCTGTTAGATTTAGAATTAGATTTTGTCATTTGTACTCTGTGTGCGCTTTTCACTGCATTATATCGCCATTCATGACACAATTTTAGGTACAATGTAGAAAAATAAAGAAGCAAAGTTAAAAGTTAAACTTTACAGTCCTTAGTATTACATAGAAGAGTGAATTTTTAACTTTTTAAAAGAAAAGTCTTAAGTGTTTAGCCATGCTGGTGTCATACTCCCCACAAGGGATCAATTTCTGCAGCTTTGGTCCACTTTCCGGGAAACCTTTGTGCCTTGGTGCTCTTGCTGCCACCGCAGATGCTGGGGTCTTTCCTCACCACCACGTTGGTCTTGCGCCTCCTGCAATGAGCTCGACCTCAGACTGTCAAAGTCCTCATCCGGGGCCCCCAGCCATTGCCATGCTCCAGAACCGAAAGCTGCAATGCTGTCGCTGCTGCTGCTGCCTCCACCACCAAGGTCTCTCCAGAAAGTAGAAAAAACAAACTAGAAAACTTCAAAATAAAAATGAGAAAAGAAGAGAAAGTTTAGACTTGTTATGACACATGACTGGGAAGGTGGATATTGAATCTTGAACCTCCTAGTCTAGAGGTAGGGACACTGCCAGTGCACCACAAGAGCCTGCAGACCCAAACATGCCAGCTTCTCTGACATTATCTACAGTTGTCAGAGAACTAGCGCAGTTGAAAACAAAGGGTGAACTGGGCTATCATCACTGAACTGTCACCAGTGCAGCCTGTCTACTCTTAGTTGGATTTCTGAATGCTGAGAAACTAGCAGAGTGACAGCACACTTGCGCAAACAAGTGAGGACATAAACCAGGAGGAACATCACAATTGTGTGCTATAAGAGACAGAACTTTGATGATACCTATATCCAAGATGTTTTAACTGGGTGAAGACATCATTCAGTTTTCTACATTTTTGTTGCTGCAAACGCAAGCAGCCTCTACTTACTGACAAAACAAATGAATCTTTTTGGTTGGCTTGCCTTTGCCATTCCTGTGAATAAAATCTTCCTTTTCAAACTGCTTGAATGCTTAATATTGCCTGATGTTCCCATATTCAAGAATGAAACTATTGTACATTCATATAACTGTTGGGCAAGGGGTAGCTGTCATCCAGCCATAACATCAAATGGAACCAAGGAAGTTAACTTTATCCATCTCTTTGTACCTGAGCTGCCCCAATGCCAACTTCCCATCCTTAGCTGCAGCCTCTACAGGACTGGAGATCTGAAGCAGAGTGAAATTGGATTGTCTCTGACAAACTTGCCAGCTGTTTCTGTGACTGCTTGTGCATTTGGAAGAACTTATTACTAGACAACAGCACGAAATGATCTCTGCCTGGGCCTGAGCAGGTATTTGTCTGAGTGCCAGCAACCTAGGGCATTTCTTCCAAGATCAACAATGGAGATGTGCCACTGATGTTCTTACCACATTCTGCTCTCACATCTAGTCTAGAAAGTGAACCAACCAAGGTGAGCTGCTAGAGGCTGCAGGAGAAAACCTTGCCAGTGTTTCCTCTGAGGGATCTGTGGCATTTTCCTCAGGTGGAGGGGACGCGGCCCTCTTTGGGACAGATGTTGAGTTGGTGCCACTGGTGCCTGTGTAAGTCAAGAAAGGTTACTGTGTAATGGGATAGAAGCTTGAGCAGTTTAAGAAAAAGTTAACAGTTGTGGTTAATGGGAGAGCAGTACAGCATCAGAACAATAAAGTTTACAGAATTGGCTGGACATAAAGGATTCAGCATAACCAAGTGAGAAGCCCGAATTCCCTCCAGCCAGCTGAAGGATATTCTCATCAGGAATGAGCTGAATGTCAGCCATTCTGCTAACCGTCTTGGCGTCTGCTTGTAAGATGTTTTTGCCTTGAGACAAAGGAGGGATTCAGTTTGTGGAAAGTGGATGGGAGAGCAGGTGGGGAGTTTGTGCTCCCTACTCTTACTTCCTACAGGGTTAGTTTGGGAGGATGAGGTAGGTGAGAGCAGTTGACTGGCTCTTTTGCCTGTAATAAGGAGAGTTGTAGTCCATTAACCTTGGTGCTGTTACAGTGCAGTGGCAGAGTTACTGAGTGTGAAATAGCAGAGAGAAGATGGTAGTACTCAGCCTTGCAGAGTGCAGAAGATCATTGACCTTCTTAGAGCACTTTGCTATTTCTTGAACAAAACAAAAAACCTATGTCTAGGCCTGTTATCTGGGTCTAGGCTGACTGGGTTTGGTGGCATGGCCTCCTTTTGCCAATCCACAGGAAAGAGAATGGCCTTCCTAACAACCACCCCAATTACTACTCAACCTCATCTTGAGATTTGAAAAAGTTCACAACACTTGGGTGAGAACAGAGAGAACTGGACAACAAGTATCTCGCTGTTGTGGTGGCCCTTCCAGCCTCTAAGTTTGCATCCCAAAGTTTCACTCGACCCCACTTGGGCTCCTAACCCCCACTTTGGGAAGCCCTGTCCTGTGATAAGTGGACCAACACAGCATGAAGGGCAGTTCTGAAGTGATGCGTTGTAGGGGTTTACATATGGTATTCAAATTACTGGAGCCATAAGGTCCTGGCAGTAATAGACACTTCTACCTCTGCTGCCATGTGATTGCACGAAATGGACATCATAGTGCTCAGCTGCATATTTAATGAGGGGAGCAGTGGAAGGTAGGGTGAGAAAAATCAAGAAAAATAATGGGACAGGAGCCATGAAACTCTCTAATAACAGCCTGAAAACGGGAATATTCAGCTCCTAGTTAGAAGTCAACCTTGAACAAGATGAATGGATTTAGGATGAGAATTCTAGAATGACAACTGAATGCTGTGAGGGAGATTCATAATTAAATCTTGTATCATAGTTCATTTCAGAAAAATACCTAACTGAAATTATGTTAAGACCTGTAGTGCAAGAGGGCAACAAATTAGAAACATTGCACAATTGTGTTCACTGATGTGATTAAGGTTTTCAAGATTATTAAAATAGAAAAATACAAACTTGATTAACTTGGTAAAAACATTTGTACAGAGCAGGAACTGATTGACACAACTGAATATAAAAATCGGATGTATTTGCAAAATATCACAATAGTTGGCAAATCAATTATGAAATTTCTTGGATGAGTTGAGATCTACAATGTAATGAAGGGTCGTTGTATTAATTCTTCTCACCTGGAGGAGTTTAATGATTTATTAAACTCTGGAATGATTGGGCACATTCTCCTCCGACAATTCTTTATATGCTGGACTCTGTCTACCTTGACAGACTGGTAGCACTCTTGTATTTACAGGTCATGTTTTTCAGCTACTATTCCAGTATTTGAGTGCAGATTCCATTCGCACTTTCCTTTAAGTCCGTCCTTTACAGTTGATGTCTCCCAAATCTCCATCACCAAGTTTTAAACTCTTCTGTTCAGGTTTCAGTGCTGTGGAATCAACAGAAATGCTCCCCATTAAACTTGCAATATGACACGTTATAATGATAAATTGTCACTTTGCATCCCTCTCAACCTGCTGCAATCTTTGACACTGACCACTTTTTCAATAGTGAGCATGTGTAACTGCACCATATGACATGTTACAATGGTAAATTATCACTTTGCATCCTTCTCAACCTGCTGCATTTTTAACATTGACCACTTTTTCAATAGTGAACATTGTGTAGCTGCCCAACCTTGCAGGTTTGACTCCTACCCTGAAATGCCTAATGAGAAATTAAGTGCTTTTTCTTAAAAACCCTGTGGATGAAACAGTTTACCTCCCCCCCCCCCCCGCCCCCCCAAATCCACTACCACTGTCAATTTACTCAGCCGTACTTCCAGATCTTGAAAATATCCCTTTTTTTTCCCTTCCCCCACCCACCCAAAACACTCATCCCTCCATAGGCATTTATTTCTGACTACTACTCTGAAGTCTAGCTCTTGGCAACTTTTGGGCTCAAGCCTTGATTAATTCACTCCTAAGACTCTCCTTTTCCTCCTCTACAGCTTTCCTTAAAATCTGCCTTTTTGTTCAAATGCATGTGATTAATTGTCATATTTTCTTATTAAGTAACCATCCCATAAGTCACCTCAGGCCATTTTACCATGTTTAAAGTGTTATGAAAAATTTCATCTTCACACACCGTAGAGAGACACCTTGGTGTTATTTAAACAGCAGGATATGTTCTAATGCTCTGGCCAACAATCATCTTTCATTATCAGCATGTAAAAAGAACAGACTGAACTGTCAATGATTTCCATGATGCTTGTGGAAACCCTCTGCATGCAAACTGACTGCCACATGTTCCATAATTCAAAATAAATTAACATGGTCAAATATTTGTGACGTCGTGAGAAAAGGAAGATAAATTATTCCAATCTTACCAAAAGAGGCAGAGGAACATTCTCATTTAAGACATCAACACGTGACTACAGACACAATTTATTGAACTGTTTATAATGGCCCTTGGGTAAATATTCCATATTAAAATTTGCATCTTGTTTTTATTCCTCATCCTCATGCATTGGAGAGTTGATGAATCACCCATTCCCAAACTTTGGTTGATGTAATTCGGACCATGAAAACAAAAGAGTGGGTTTCAAACCCACAATGTTCCTCACTCTATAATAGCTATTACTCAGTGTCATCCATCTACTTACAGCAAGAATGAAAACCAACCCCTTTGAGCTAACTGTCACATCATCCACTTCTAGTAGCCATGCAGCAGATTGCCTGACTGTCTGCAGAGCTGGAAAATAGTTGTTGGCATAGGAAACTTCGCTATTGTGGAAGGTATGGAGTAGCATTTGGGAATAGGACTCGAGTTGCAGTAGGTCTGACAGCTCCTGATGTAGTCAGTAATGCCTAATCTTGGCCTGCACAGCGTTTGTTGTGGCAGAAACGTAGGCCTGGATTTTACCAGTCCTCTTGAAATGGGTTGGAAGAGGTGGCAAAATGGCAGAGAAATTCTCAGTGGTAGAAGGGAGAAAGCTAGATAGTTAAAGCAGACCCTAATTAGTAGCCTCTTCCCACCCCACTATCAGGAGACCTGGCAGGTAAACCCCAGTGGCCTTCCACGCACATTCTCCTGCAGGGGTGGAAAGGGTGCTTTCCTTAAAGCTACCCACATTTGGTTTTCCCCTCTAATCCCCTCTAGTGGCAAAAAAGGTGTATGCTCCCAATCACTGGAGCCTGCCAGGCCTCAGCACCGTGAAGTTTATCTGGCCTTTGAAGATGTCGGAAGTGGGGAAAACACTGTCTTCTTCCTGCTGCCTCAGCAATGGAACACCCCTGCCAGCCTCTGCTTGTGCCAGCAGCTCAGAGCTGGGCCCCAGTCTTCAATTGGACAGCAGTCCCAGCTACAGCTTACGCCAATAAGATGTTGCCCACGGTCCAGTCATCCATCCAAGTGGCCTTAGGAGCCAGTTTTGATTCTGAAAATCTATCTTCTAAAAATTCTGACCTGTATCCTGAATCCCCGGACTTTTTGCCTGCAGTCGAAGTTCTCTACATCATTTAAATCCCTACTGTGAAATTGCTTTCCAGTTCAAAAGACACCGATTTAATCAAGTCAATAAGTTATTTGATTGGGGGGGTTTATTGCTCTTATTCAACTGCAATGCAACAGGGAAATCACAACTTTTTTGTGAATTGTACTCTTTAGGAAAGACCCAGCGTAATTTATTAATTTGAAGTATTGTACTTCAGGGTGTAAAATCAACAAAGATGTGTTAGACAGGAAAAATAAAATGTTTCCTTACTTCTGCCATTTCTTGTTATCAAGGATTGACTGCAACAAAATTATAGATATTCTCTTATGGTGTTCACAAATGTCAATACTCCCACAGATCCAGCATAAAATTACTCCTACAAAATATCAGTCTTGATTTATTTAAGAGCACAAACACATTAGCCTTCACTAACCATGCTACAGATATTTTCTATGTATAGCTACATGTTCAAAGATGTTTGAAATTGTCACATCAACATTTTATGTGCTAAACAGCTAATATACCTAATGGGTTACAGTGTTGTGTAATTGCACTCTCCATACAGTCTTAGTACAAAGTGTTAGTTTTAATAGCCAGTGTTAGCACTTCTAATAAAACTAGATATGATCTATGAAGGATATAAATTACATAATTGGTGTATAAAAAGGGACAAAATGTGACAGTTTAATATGATGTTTTAACATGTTAAAAAATTTAAATAATACTTTCAGTGTAAGCAATGCATGAAACTGCCTTTATGTTAAAAACTTACCACTGTCACATTTATCAGCACGTAATAATTCATTAGCTCAGCAGGTTTCCGTGTTCATTTGGTCACCGTTTTATATTGAAATGAAGGTCCAGAAAGTAATTATTTTAAAAGATCATTGAATTTAAACCCTTTAAAGCAAGATTCCAGAGGACATCAGACATGACGTGTCTATTAGGTTTCAAACAGAGCTCTATCAAAAGCAATATCTCAGAAACGACAAAGATAGTTTAAGATTCCAGTAAGCAGTCACACATTGCTAATTTAGGTTGTTGTATTCTACTCTCAAGAAGACATCTACAAATCAACAGAAGACATATAGTGAAAGGACTCTAGCAGAAATGTCCTCAAGCTGATATGATTGCTCTTTAACAATAACTGCAGGACCCTGCACCCCAGCTTCAAAGTCGGAGGTGAGCCTGCCCACAGTTGGCCAATTTGCCCTGCAGTCATCTAATAACCATTGGATCATTAATTGGTTTGAGCTGGATCTTCCATCCCTTTCAGAGACTAGGTCCTGCCACCAAGAGCTGCCAGCTGACAGGCAACTCTCTTTCTCATCTCCGAGTGATGGGCACTATGTTACTGCAGGCAGCCCTCTACAGAAGGGACCATGGAACTAAGGTGAAGGTGTATCCAGAGTCTTGCTAGGGCCAGGCTGGCAGATCCTTTTGCAAGGGGTTAGGGGAAAGAATAGTGAGGGATGGGCACAGCTTGCCCAAGCAGAAGACTTCACCACCACAATCTCCCTTCCACCCCCAACTCAGCCACAAAAAATCCCAGTGGCACCTGGAGGTAGCCTTCAGATCCCTCAATTCCCCCATGGGGGAGCCAGATCCCTCCCCTAACAGGTAATATACCAGCTGAATTGTGAGCAGATCAAAAAGACACAAGACTGCAAGATTAGAGATTCTGCATAATGATACGAGAGAGAGGATATGAATAGATTATTCTGTTTAAATAAAATATCCCAGAGTGGGAGCTCCACAGCTGATTAAATAACCATTAAGATGTATCCATTGCTGTATACGTTTAATCTGTGGAATAAAAAACAGTTTACACAAAATCAATCAATTATCACCTCATCCACCTTGAAAGAAAAGGTAAATGTGGATCAGATCCCACCCAAATTGCAGGTGGTTCTTGAAGTGCTGCTCTTTTATTCAATGTCCTTTCATTGTGTCTTTTACTCTGCTCACCATCATTGTGCATGTCTACACTCTTATGTTTCATTATATATTTACTAAGACTTGCTTTCAAATTACTGAGCAATGAGTAATGGCTTTCTCCAGCTCAGACTCATTCTGAGAATTACAGCTTAATTTCCACCCTTCCAATTTCATTCATCAACACTCACCATTTAATATCACTCTCACTTCCTGAGACACTTGCTCCATCATCTGCCATAATATGCAAGACCTTTTCCCAGTACAGACTTTATTTCTGAGCTGTCTACTGTTCTATTTTCAACTTCCCATCTAGCACTTTAACAAAAAAAAAGGTTTTGTTTGCTTTTCCACACTTCTTTGAAGAAAAACCGGGCAACAGATTCTAACAAGTTTATGTTCAGTGCTTGCTTAATAAATGGAGATAAGAAAAGAGAGATAGGAACATGAGCAGGAATGAAAAGAGAAAAAAAAACTTCACCTAAATTATGAAAATTACCCATAAATGTACAGCTGCTATTGGTCAGATGATTGTTGGAGGCCAATCATCTCAGATCTGGACATGACTGCAGGAGCATGCAATGTAGATATTTTCCAAATCAACCTGTCTAAAGAGGTTATGACACACTTCAGGATGGACTTGAACCTAGGACTGTTGGCCTGGGAGTAGGGACACTACCACTGCACCACCAGAGCCCCTTCTTCAAGGCACATTGTTTTCTTATCAACCTGCTCAGAGATGTTATCTCACACCTCTGGACATGAACCAGGCTGAAAAACAAAGTTGCTGGAAAAGCTCAGCAGGTCTGGCAGCATCTGTGGAGGAGAAAACAGAGTTAACATTTCGGGTCTGGTGACCCTTGCTCAGTCTCCCTGGCTCAGTGCTAATGACACTACAACTGCTCCACAAGAGCACAGTTCAAGGCATTTTCCAAAGGCCAACCATCTACAGCTGTTTCAATTATCTTTCTTCCATCATAAGTTGGGATGCATTCAATTTTATCCACAATTCAAAAAAA